CCGCTCCTCGCGGCCAAGGCGCCCCTGTGCGCGCCGCGAGCCCGCGCCGGGCTTTCCCAATTGCGCTGCCTTCCAGCCCGAACCAATCCCCTCCGGGGAGCCCCTTTCTCACTTGTTTTCCTGCGTAGGATTTTTTTCCCCCTCCTTTTGGCAGCGAAGTACTTGCGAGCCACCTGGAGCCTGGTGCTGGGCTGCCTCTCCCCTCCCCCGCCGGCTCCCAGAAGGAGGGGAGGGCCGGGAGCCGGAGCCGGAGATGCCGAGGACCAGCCGGGCCGGCGGCCTGTAGGCGGCGGGGAAGGGGCGTCGGGGCGCGCGCCCTGCCTCCCTCCCCGGCCTCCGAGGCGGTCCGCGCGCTAATGAATCACGGTGCCTCCCTCCCGCTGCCGAAGCAAAGCCTTCACACTTTGGCCCTCTCCGCCTTTTAAGCTCGGGGAGATTTATCGTCACCCTGAAAGGCCTCCTCCCCGGGCGCAGCCGGACCCGGGGGCCCAGTGGCGGAGCCGTAATTGCTAACGGGAGCCGCGCGCGGAACCCGGGGCCACTTCAGAGCCACGCGCCTCGCGGAGGCTGCGCCGCGCGCTCTGGCCCGCGCCCCGCCGCCCCCTTCTCCACGCAGTTTCCCGGGCGCTTTGCCGTCGAGGGGCGTTTTCTCCTCTCTCTCTTCACACCAAGGGCCCTGGTTCACGGCCCAGCTGCAGCGCCGGCCCCTCTGCGTGTCTCACACCGCCACCCACGCCTCCCGGGTCCTCGCAGAACCCGCGTGAAGCCCAGGGGGAGGCAGAACCGAGCCCTGGGTTAGGAACCTGGGGGAGAACCCCGGCGGTCCTGTGCTGCACTCCGATTCAGAGGCAGCCCCCCAGGACCGCTTCTTTAGGAAACACGTTAACCCACGGAAAGCTTGCCTGGAAGGCGTGCCCAAAGATGCATCGGTATAAAATATTTATATTCCATAAAGCAGCTGGACATTTGCATCAGGTCGAAAATATGAAATTGCCAATGTTTTGTGGTTGTCCACCCCCAAAACTGGCAATTTCGTACGGTCCAGTCTACACTCCTGCGTCAAGCTGAACTTGCGGGCTTGACCTCTGCGCCTGTGATGGACGGAACAGCGGGAAGAACTCGCGTGTGTGCGATGCCCCGGGCCCCCCGTGCTGCGAACGTGGCCTCAGTCTTCAGGGTGCACAGGTGGAGCTACACAGTAGTTAAAAAATCTCGCTTTTGAGATGGGCGCCAGGGATGATTTATTGCCCAATTATGTGGTTTAGTGACCTGAAAAATGACTTTACATGCGTGCTCTTACATTTTTCTGTGCATCCAGGGCCTTTGAAAT